AGTGTTGCACTAGTTTTCGCAGTAGAAAACGCTATGAGTGCAAACGTAATGGTAATTAATAACATAATAAATGTAATAGACATTTACGCTCTCAAGTATCCATTCGTACGATTGAAGAATTGGAAAAGGAATTACAAGACAATAGCTCATCTTATCTTTGCGCAAGACAGAAAGGATAGAAGATAATACAACGATATCTCGTTCTATCTTTTATTTACGGACGGTAAAAATGATTTTTTCATATAGCGTGGCCGCGCGCTCTGAGCATTGATATGTCCGTCTTCACATATACGTGTCTATTTATACGATTGCAGAACTGAAGAAGGAATTACAAGACAATAGCTCGCGTCTTATCTTTGCGCAAGACGAAAATGATAGAAGATAAAACGATATCCCGTTCTATCTTTTATTTACGGACGGAGTGGAATGATTTTTTTCGCAGCGTGGACGCTGAGGATTGATACGTCCTCACACATACTCACGTTACGTAAGGAACCACGTACTCGCGAGGATCCGTTCGGCAACACACGATGTTATAATTATGACATTACAATTCCGACATTGCACACAAAATTCATCGTAACAGAAAACTGTATATAGCGGAGACTGATGAGGTATGCACGTATAAAGAGACGCGCCTCTCGAATTTTACATTGGTCGGTTTGCACGAGTGACAGTTACGGATAGCCCATCGTTGTACCTTCGAGTCGCGCTTATCGCATTAACGAGACGGCTTATTAAGTAGAGTGGAACGGAATTACGGTAACGCGAACACCTAGTCCGCCGTTACGTCTAAAATAAAGGCTCTAAAATAAACCGCACAGTCTGCCCCGCGAGCCTGTCTCTTATCTCTTTATCCGTTTTTTTCCTCCTCGTTTATTAGTATTTAATTATCAATATTTTTTGAGCAGTGCAAGTACGGTGTTTCTATCTCGTTCCACATCTCCGCAATTAAAGATGTGGTCGCGTGAAGGAAATTGATTTTTCTGCTTTAATCGATAACTATTTGTTGGTTTGTTTTGAAACGATAAACGAATAACTGTCGGATTTGTCAAAAATTTTAAATCTTTTAACACATTTTAAAAACAAGATTTTAAAACATTTTTTAACTGCATATATTTTCTACGTTCTCGATAAAACGAACTTCGTTAATTTATTCGACGTCTTTTTCTCTTGCGGAAGATCAATAACCTAGAACGTCGCGTCGCAAAATCCCGTCGCATTGTACGTACATTTCCTTAGAAGCCGGTTTGTGTAACATGATAAGGCACGACTAGATCGTCGAACATCATCATGTCTTATTATAAGCATCGCTCGACAACGCGAATCGGTTTTCGCGCTTATTGAAATTTTGCGCGATAGTCTTTCAACATATGTGGCAAGCCGCAAATAATACATTTTTGTGTGATGAAAGCAATCCTACTACTGTGCACCCATCATGCTCAAAAGAATTTTAATAGGAATCAACAAGCAACACTCATATCTTTTTTAATGAAATTATTCGTTTCTTTAATTATTTTACGTAACGTGAATGGAGTAAGCTGTATAACGTGCAAAACGTTGACTTAACTGTTGCCTCATTAATATCCCCTAAAGCTTGTAGATGGACGTGCGTCTGTATTCTTAAGTCGCGTGTAAATCATTAAGACTTTTATGACTGATCCTTCGCGCAACGATTAAATTCCACAAGATGATAAATGCAGGCTAGGCCGCGAGGATTCCGACAAGAATTGTATTTGTTTGACATTCCTGGAGATATATGTATAGCGTGATATATGTGTTGCAGAATTAAAATTCTTTCTCTCTCTTCTTTAGTTAATTGAGTATTGTTCTTTAATTTCTTTATGAGCTTCATGAGTATTTTTTTTGTTTTTTATTGAAAAATAATTGTTCCTTTGACTTACAATCGGTACTGTTTATCTTTTAAAGGAATATATGTTAACGTACTAAAGCTCTCATGAAAAAATTATGTTAGAACAACGTCAACTTGATCAAGTGAGGAATAGTATTTTGGTGTTATAGGTGTGGAGAAAGATTCTGTGAATTTTTTTAAATTATTTAAAATGAAATTCTTCATTGACAATAACGCCTGACTTTACACGGATCAGTTTCAAATTTTTAAAAGAAGAAATATTTGCAATAAGTAATAATAAGCAATGACCAAAGACGAGCAAAGTCAGTAGTGTTAAAAATTTTATTCTTCATTTTTCTAACATAAAATGTAACGAAACTAATTTCGATCCTTTGACTTTTCTCAATCGTATAAATAAATAAATAAATCGGTAAATCTTAACGCATTTTACAGTCAATAATTAAAATATACAAATAAACCATAATTAACGGAGTCATACAAAAATCGGAAAGACCATAATTAATAAAAAACTTATTAATTGTGGTCTTTCCGATTTTTGTATATGATTCCGTTAACTCATTACTGGGTAAAGATAATTGCTATCCCCTCCTGAGTTATTTGACTTTACTTTTACTATTACTCGGAGCTAGTGATCTAATAGGGTATGTAGAAATCTGTGAATTATATCCTATAACTGTTTACTATTTTCAGTTCTTGTAACTAAATACAAATTCAGTTTTTAAAATGTTCTGCATTTTAAGAAATTTGGAAAATTTAAAATTATAATTGTAAAAGAAGCTTGTTTACGGAAAAAAACTTGTGGCACTATTGAAATGACAACTAATGAATAACTATTAGTGCACACATGATTTATTACATCATTGTATATTTTAATTATTGCCTGTAGAATGCGTTAGGATTTATCGATTTATTTATTTATTTATACGATTGAGAAAGGTCCAAGTAAGGATCGAAACTAATTTTATGTTTATTTAGAAAATTGAAGAGAAAATCAAATTTTTAACACCACTGAACAACATTTGATCGTCTTTGGCCGTTGATTATTATTACTTATTGTATTACAATAACGAGCGAGTTATAAGAAATATATGATGTAAATCCAACATCCGGTACGATATAAGATATTGGACTCTATTTACACAATTAGGCTAATCTAGGCGCTAATTGAAAGTTTCTAATCGCAGCTTCTATAATTTACAAGTCACTACTACGTCAGATTTTTATATCGCATTCTTCGTCCCATTTTTCGAGTGAAATTTAAAAGAAAAGAAGAGAAAAAAAGAAGGATAATTGGTCGGTAGAAACTCGTATCTCCGCCTGTGTCGAGAACAGCCTCAGTCTTCTTTCCGATGGTTATACGATCGAGATCGTTGCCGATGCTTTCGCGATCATGCTAAAGTGGGTGCATTACTGCCCGTTGCCGAGGGACCGCGCGATCGCTCCCTCGGACGCGAAGATGGTCGGTCCGCGCGAGACCACGAGGGACGAGAAGGACGAGAGAAGAGCGTTCGACAGAAGAAGAGACAGCGTTGACACGGTGCGAAGTGCGCGAAACGCGAAAACCGCCACGCCGGACGCTATCATGAGGAGATGCTTCCGGTTTGGGGTAAGGAGCAAAGGAAGTCGGACTTGACAGTCGGCTGCGCACGGCGATCGCGAGATCGTCGCGGCTACTACCGATGTGTATAATTCGCGCGATAACCGCGCGGTCGCGTGTTCTCTTCTTTCTTCGTACTTTGACACTTAGCGTATAATTACGTTTATCAGCGTTTCTTTGTGATTCATCAGATACCCGAGCAGAACAGTACGATATCGTCAAAATGACGTTAAAATGAATCACAACTGATCGAAAAGACGTTCAATAATCATTTTGAAATTATTTTGACGTCATTTGTCATGATGACTTGTTGTTCTGCTTGGGTCTATTTCTTGTGTATTGTCTCAGCTAGAATGAAGAAACAGATTATTTATCAATATTATAAATTCCTTAATTTCGTAATATCAGAATAAGATATAATTTTAACTTTCAGTAGAATAAGATATATCTTAAGAAATAATTTTTAGTAGCGATGCGCAATAATGTTATAATTTATAACTTAATACTTTGTGGTTTTATTTATTTTAATTACATAATTATTTTACTTCCAGTGATTCTGATATCGATCGATCGAATATCAAATGTTGCTTTAATTATTATCATTATTAATTGGAAAATTTGTGTTAAATTTAATATAAATTTCACGTGCTCCAAAGAATTTATCCAAATTTTTATGTTAATTTAACACGAGATGAATATGTTAGAAAATAACTAATATTATATAAAAAAAACTTAAATAGTGTAACACTTTGGAGACACAATTTGGGAAAACATATTTCTTCAATAATATTAATTATAACATATTATGTAAAAATTAATATGTACATTTTATTCATTTATCTTAGAATTGATGTTTCAAAACTGCATTATTTTTATGTTATTTTATTTACTCATTGTTATTGTGTTATTTTAGCATTAAAATTATATTAAACATTAAAATACTAAATTGTGTTATTTTAACATAAAAAAATCTTGAATATCAGTTTTAACACAACTATATGTTAAATTAATTTAAATATGTTAAAAATTTAACTCAAAAATCTTAATAGAACCGGTTTTAACGAAAAACACAAAATATATTTTACTGTGCAGTATTATGTATAGAAGTAAATTAATAGATACCATTAAATAAATTATATGGCAATATTGCCTGATAATATTAGAGATTCCTTCTACTTAAGATGCAAAAGAGTAAAACATATTAATTAGAATCATTCATACGTAGAAAGTATCAATTTTCTCGATAGGAGAATCATTGAAAAGAAAATCTTCTCTCGAGAAGATTGTATGGAATTCGCATTTTGAAATGATCAATATAGATAACAAAGAAAGTCGTTTTATCGCCTTGTTTCCACTGACATTACGGCTATGATCCGAAAAGAGGATAGATAATCACCGGGTAGAGTTAGTTGATCAACGTGGTTAGCGGAACTGGTCTTTATCGTTGCGGCAATCCTTGCGGATTATATGATTACGAGCCATGCATGATACGTCGGAGGCATCGCTAACTATGCGTTTCATGGTTCGCAGGGTTCGGATCCGAGGGTAGCGACCTGCAGAGGAAAGCTGCAGAACAAGCGAAGTAAGCTCAACCAGGAGATCAACAAGGAGCTGCGGCTACGAGCGGGCGCTGAGAATCTCTTTAAGTAAGCGTTCACACGCCACGTAATTTATATCAATATACGATATAATTTTAATATGTAATTGTATATAAATGAACGTGTAAATATAACTATTAAGTGAATACAAGTAGCTATTTTATAAATTATCGTAAAACTCGTGTAGAATCTTTCGTATCTCTTCAATTACTCTAACATTGTACTCTAATAATGTCCAAGGGACATTAAATTATTTTAAAATTTTAATTATTTTATTATTTTAAAATTATTTTATTAAGTTATTTTAAATCGATTATTTTTTTTTATTTTGCGATTTACATAATTATTTACAACTGACTTTGCAAAACTGAAAGTCGCGAGTAAAAATAAAAAAGTGTAATAAACCAAACTTTGCTGTACAATTAAAAGTACAATTTATGAGGAGCTTACTTGCATTTGTGTTAATTCTTAATTAATCACGTTATAGGGCGACGACAAACAGAAAACTGAAGGAGACCGTCGCGTTGGAGCTAAGTTTCGTCAACTCGAATCTGCAGTTGCTGAAGGAACAGCTCGCCGAGTTAAACAGCTCAGTGGAGCTGTATCAGAATGTCGACGGGTAAGTTTAGCGAAAATTACAAATTTTGCCGATGTATACGGCGACAACGTACGGTATTGCAATCGAACGGTATTTTCTTTCAGCGACGAGCCCGTTATGCCGATGATACCATTGGGACTCAAAGAGACCAAAGACATCGACTTTCGAGATCCGTTCAAGGTAAGGTTTCGAATCGACACGATGAGATCAATTCGCGAGATCTTCGTCACATTCGTAACCGTGATTTTTTTTTTAATTCGCCGCGTCCGCTTATTCGAGAGGCGGTACGTCCGGATTGTCCTCGAAATTTTCGCGGTCTCTCTTCTCCTCTTTCCTCTGCGCTCGTTTCGCGGAGTCTTCGGTTATCCTCAGAAAATCGTAAACGTCCGTGGATGGGCCGATCTCGAGGAGAGCTCGTCGGGAGGTCACCGGTGGCCGGACTGTGATCACCTTCGTTTCGCGTTCGTTGGATTTCGTCTTTCTCGTCGATTCGTCCCTCCTCACGATTATTGCGCACGGAGTCAAACGGGCCATAGCGATCACTAAACTTCCGGTGGTCGTGTTCCGTCGAACGTTGGTTTTATCGACCGATACCTCGCAGGGCAGGGTTAACTGCAGAATCTTTCCTTTTATAGTGACTCGCACGTAAGTCGGATTTACGTCGACGTCGATATAAGAGGTGTCCAAATGCCTTCAAATATGAAAAATGAGCGTAAATATACAATAACATCGTATATACGTATATAATGGTATGGGGGGAGGGACAGTAGTGTTAATTACGATCGAGCATGGATCCGCTAGTCGTTACTGCCCCGCTATAGACACAAAACATATATAGTTTTTTTGATAACCGATGTCATCGGAAGAAAATGAATCTTGCACGACGGATGTTTCACGACGGTGAATGCTTTCCGATTTTTCTGCGTTACGTGTTTCACGATTGTATTTCCGTTTCCCTATTCCTGTGTTATCTTTGTTGTGTGTTCAATTAAATTCCATTTTCTACGGAAATCGCTTTCTTATTTTCCACGAATGCGGGAGTCATTCTCGAGTTAATTATTACGCAACAATTTTTTAACATACGTTAACATACGTCACGCAATAATATCTCTGGTGAAAGATTTTCTTAGAATTCTTCATTTAATTTTTTTCAGATTTTTTAAAATTTCTGTATAGTGTATTGTATACATTATAACTTTTTAGATAATACAGAAGTTTGAATTTCTGAGAAAGTCTACATCTTTTCTAAAATTCTTCTTATATGTATATATGAATATTATGAATTCTGAAATATTTAAAATTTCTCATTCTATAATTTCTGAAGAAAACATAAAACTCAAAATCTGAGAAAATTTGAGGTATTTTTTTCTTTAGAAATCTTTATATTATTTAAAATAATATGATAAATTCTTTAAAATTTTATTACATAATATGAGAATTGTTTTTATCAGAAATATGTTAAATAAATCTTGAGAATCTTTAAAATTTGATATAAATATAAATGATCGCTATTGTTAAGTAATGAATGAAAAATTAATTGTTTATCCTTGAAAAGCGTTTTTATAAGTTTTTAAAAATTAAGTCTTACAATTATTTAGATACAATGTAAGCTATTATTTAGCACAACGCGACTGTATTAAATGATTACCTGTAAACGGAGACTTCAAGAACAACAAAATCGCGATCGTTTTCATCGTCTAGTCTGAATGGCACCTTCGCCTGATTTATATTGTACGCTCTTCCGTCTGGAGCGAATAGCTTCAGCACACGTTTCGGTTGATTGCTCTTATCCGAAGTACGATTCTTCTTCTCTTGTTTCTTCATGAATTGCTCAGCGATGGCGATTCTATCTTCCGGCGTGTGATAACTAGGCTGCTTCCAAAAACGTTCGTCCTCTGACTCGTCATCCTGCTCTGTGTTCGTGTTCTCACTTCGCTCGTTCTTTGTATGTTCCGTTTGCTTCTCTGCAGTATTCTAAAGAAGATATTATATTCTTATTTGCATTTTTCATGCGTAAATGCTTGAGACGTAACAGTTACGTATTTAGCAGACTGGAAACGTTTGAAAAACGTATGCGGATATATGTGCGGTTTAACTAAAAAAAAATATATATATATATGTGTTAATTTTATTTATACATTTTAAAACATTTGCAGTTCAAGCTAAATAATTCTAAAAAACTTCACGTATAAAGTATAAATTAATATAAAAATTAATGTTAATTTACGTCCTTGTGGATTAAACACACATCAGTAGCGTACTTCAATGATATTCAGATAATTACAGTATTATCAAATAATTAATTTAATGCGCTTTGTAAATTGCATTCTAGTAAAAAATGGCATTACCAATACTATCACTTATATACGTATAGGTTAAGAAAAATTTACCATCTGGTTGATTGTTTCTGTGGTTTCCTGTGTAGCATCGCGACGAGCGCATTGAGCTATCCTAGTTTTCTCGTAATGCCTATAACTTTCAATAACGTCGTCTCGCGCACGCGAATAGATCTGTAACGCCTTGATGCGTTCCGATCTTTCAATCTCCTGCATGTCGAGCTCTTGTAGTTGCGGTAAAGTCGCCACGACGTATTGCCTGTAGTACTCGTAATCGGTGCATGGATTTCCCATTAGAATCAGATGTTCCAAATGTTCGTTGCACCTGTGCGAAACATGAAACGCGCAATTGAGAGAGAATCGAAAGAGATTTATGATTTCTATTAAAATTATATAATCTCTGATAAAAGTCGTTCTTAGAATTCTTCATATAACTTTTTAGAATTTTTGTTGAAATTTTAAAATTTTCTGTATAATTTTGTAACTTTATAAAAAATTTTTCAGATTTTCTTTTATACGACTTGGAACACTTTTCAGAAGTGCTGAAAGAGTCTATATCTTTTCTAAAAATTTTTATATATGTGAAATATTTTATGATTTTTAAAATCTCCCATTCTATTGTATAATTTCTAAAGAAAACTTAAAAAATCTGAAAAAAGTTAAGGTATTTTTTCATAAATTTTTATAAACTTAAAATATGACAAATTCTTATACGTGTATGAGGTATTATGAGAATTTTTCTCATTTAGGGATAATGAAAAAAAAAAGATATTACTTGACGCACAACTGATCGAAGTTCGATTAATCTTGATAATTGGACTAATTGAGCGCGTAAATTATTTCACATATTTTAATGTATTTTTTAACGTAACTGACGTAATTTTATAAAATTAAGTAATATGAAATTACACATATAATTTATATATAATTAATATAATTTATAAAATACCTAAGATTTTTGACACTTTGTAAATTTCCGATAAAATTGACGGTGAGGTCCAATTTTTTTAAGCTCTCTAAGCCTTCCAGGTTCTCGATAATCTCAATGTTATTGAGGGCTAGATTCAAGTATTCCAGCCTTTTCAACATATTCAGATTCTCTATTTTCGATATAAGATTGTGCTGCAAAAGCAGGATCTTGAGATTCCTGCAGTGTCTGTCTATCAGCTGGATTTTGTCGATGTTCTCCTGGTGCAAAGATATTTCTTCCAACGTCGAGATTTCGCCCTCATTGTGCTCCGAGCGCTTCCGTATTAATTCCAGGGTGATTTTTACCATTTTTGTCTTGTATCAGCTTCTAACTTTAGCGAGTATCACGAAGGAAAATCGCAAGTGTCATGGCTAGAGACGCGAGTACGCATTAACCAAGAAAATCTCGTAGTTGCTATGAAGATATCGATTTAACATTGTCGGTCACGTTTTCTGATTCCACGTGCTGCGTGCACGTGCCACGAATTAGGTATTGATCGCTTCTCGTGAACGATCTCTTATTCTCTTGTAGGACTTTATCTTGGAGCACTACAGCGAGGATGGGGAAAATTATGAAGAAGCTATAGCTGATTTGATGGAAACCAGACAGGTAAGAAAATAGCACGTGTCTCTTTTTATAATATTTAAAAAAATATATAGATTTTTTTATTCTCTTATTTAAAATTTAGAACTTATTATTGGAGAACTTTGCATAGATCCGTCCAATAATTGTCATCTCTCTAAAATAAATTATACCGTGTCATAATTTTTGTGATAATTTAAATATTATTTGAATATATAGAATTTAAGTTAACATAACATGAAAATTTAAGTTAAAATAAAAATTTTAATCCGCAGGCTACGAGGACACCGACCAGAGATTCGGCGGGCATCGCGTTACTTCTGCGTTATTACAATCAACTCTACTTCATAGAGAGGCGCTTCTTTCCACCCGACAGAAGCCTCGGCATCTACTTCGAATGGTTCGATTCGTTGACGGGAGTGCCGAGTTGCCAGCGAACGGTCGCCTTCGAGAAGGCGTCTATTCTCTTCAATGCCGGCGCGCTTTATACGCAGTTGGCTGCCAAGCAGGATCGTCTAACCGCTCGAGGACTCGACCAAGCGGTCGACGCTTTTCTCAGAGCGGCCGGTACTTTCCGATATATCCACGAGAACTTTACAAACGCACCGAGTATGGATCTGGGCCCGGATATGCTGGAGATGCTGGTGCAGTTGATGCTTGTACGTTCTCGCTCTCATTCGTATAATTTAATATTATTCAAATAAAGAAAACTGTTGTATTTGGCAATTAATAGTTTCCTTTGACATCGCATATTTGCTATTAACAATTAATTCATTTTGCATTTTTATATTTTAGGCTCAGGCAAGGGAGTGCCTCTTCGAAAAGCTGGAGCTTCAATCGAGGGATGGCAGAAACGTCGATGTTTGCTTAGATCTTGCTCAAGAGGCAGCTCAGGTAAAGAAAAACGCTTTCTCACGCGATCCCTCTTCTGCGTCTTGCGATTATCGGTGTGATAAGTACAAGTGAATCACGAAGATGATTACTTCAGGTTGCGGCGATATACAATGACGTCCACGGATTGATATCGCGCGAACCGGTTCGTGACTACGTCCCGGAGACGTGGATCTCGTTGATACTGGTGAAGCGCGAACACCATCTTGCCCTCGCTCACAAGCACATCGCGGTCGGTCTGCTGGACAGACCGATCGCTGAGTTTCGTGTGGAAACAAGGCTCACGTTGGAGCACATTCAAAAGAGCGACGGGAAAACCCAATTGGACGCGACTGTTCCTAGAGATGACAACGAAAGGAAATTATTGGGTACATTGCGCAGTACTTGTTTTATATAACAATCTTTTTAATACTAAATGAAGGGCCTGTTGCAACAGTGAGCTAACCCTTTAATAAAAAAAAAAACAACAATTTTTGTCTCCTACATTTGAAAATTGATCATAAATACTAAAATGTATATTTTTTTATTTTGATCTTTTCTACTTGTATGTACTATCTACCCTTACGAAAAAAAACTCTCAACTTTGAGTGTTCAACACTAAAAAAAACGCTCAAATTTGGGTGTTAACACTTAAAAAGGACGCTCAAATTTGGGTGTGATTTCGGATCATCAATTGAAGGTTACACTCAATTGA